AGAAAAATGGATAAAAGAAATTGATAGAAACACCAAGTATTTTCATGTCTTCCCAATCATAGGAGGACAAACTATGTTTCTGAACTACTTGTGGATGGTAATAAAATTGAGGGTAATGAAGCGATACGAGAAGCAACCAAATCACATTTCTTGAATATTTTCTCGGAGGTTTTTTCTGTTAGACCTCTTCTTAACAATCTACAATTTGACAGATTAGACAATTCTGCCAATTCTATTTTGGAAGCTGAATTTACTGAATCAGAAATTCTGAATTGTCTCAGAGACTGTGATGTTGATACATCCCCTGGCCCGGATAATTTTAATATAAAAACTTTCTAAGAATTTTAGGATATAATGAAAGGTAATCATGGGTTTTTTCAAAGATTTTTATAACAGCAGTTCCTTTGTTAAATCAATTAATTCAACATTTATTGTTTTGATCCCAAAAAAGAAAAATATTGTAAATTTAAAGGACTTTAGACCGATCAACTTAATCAGCAGCCTTTACAAACTTCTCTCCAAGGTGCTTGCTAACAGACTTTTCAAAGTTCTTAGCCGGATTATTAATCAAAATCAACAGGCTTTTGTGCATGGCAGACAAATCACAGATCCTATTTTTATCGCCAACGAAGTTGTTGATGATGTTATAAGAAAGAAGGGCAATGATTTAATTTGTAAACTGGATATGGAAAAGGCTTTTGATCATATATCTTGGAATTTCATTGACCACATGCTTGATAACTTGGGCTTTAGTCGGAAATGGAGAAGTTAGATAAAAATGCATATCACTTCACCAACTTTTGTTGTTTTGATAAATAATGGACCCTCTAAATTCTTTAAGGTTATTAGGGATTTAAGGCAAGGTGATCCATTATCTCTACTTCTTTTTATTATTGTAATGAAAACGTTTAACAAGCTCATCGACAAGTCTAGTAATCTGAGGTTGTTCAAGGGCATCACAATAGGTAATCAAAATAAAAAGACAGAAACTACGCATCTTTTCTTCGCTGACAATACTCTCTTCTTCTGCAGACCAGATATTGATAACTTACTTCATTTGAGGTACATCTTATTATGTTTTCAAGCAACATCGGGCTTAAAGATAAACCTTGATAAATCTGAACTTATTGATCTAGGTATGCATAGTTCGAATCATATACTTGCCGACACTTCTCCTAATTTTGCTGTTGTCATGGGCTGCAGATCCTCTTAACTCCCGATTAAATATCTGGGAGTCCCTTTGGGCAGTAATCATAAAGATACAAGAAGCTAGGAACCTATTGTTGAGTTATTTCAAAACAGATTGGCTGGATGGAAAAGTAAATATCTGTCAAATGGTAGGAGACTAACACTTATCAAGAGTACCCTCTCCAATCTTCCCATCTATTACTTATCTGTTTTAACCATTCTTAAGAAAACAGCCAAAAAATTGGAAACTATTCAATGTCATTTTCTCTGGGGTGATTCTGATAATAGCCATAAATTTCATTTGGTTAATTGGAATGAAGTGAAGAAACCGGTTGCTACTGGTGGTTTGGGGCTAAAATCCATAGTAACTTTTAATAAAGCTCTCCGTGGTAAATGGATTTTGAAATATTTTTGTGAACATAAAAAACTCTAAAAAGAGGCTGTTGACTGTAAATGGTTGGTAATAACCGTCTTGATATTACTAACTTGGACAAAACTGTTTTTGGGAAAAGCTTGTGGAAAAGTATAATGCGCAGTTTAGATTCTGTTCTTAATGGTTCTAATTGGAAAGTGAGCAATGGAAACACTATCCGTTTTTTGGAAGGATAAATAGTCCAGTATGGAATCTTTTCAGAATTGTTTCCCTCACATTTATACCATTGCCAAGAATAGAAATTCACTCATCAGGAATGTGTATGAGGATAATTATTGGAATGAGGAGGTAACCAGAAACTTAGAGGACTGGGAAGCGCAGGAATATGAAAGTCTTCTCCAACTTTTAGCTACCATTAATCTTGATTCTAGTGAAAATTGTCTTTACTGGAAAGCAAATAGAAATGGTACATTTTCTGTCAAGTCATTTTATAGACTTCTTGTGGATGGCCAAACTAGATCTCCTGGCAATTTCCCCAACAAAATTATCTAGAATTCTATTGCACCACTCAGAATTTCTTTTTTTTCTTGGGAAGCTACAAAGGGAAGAATTCTTACGTTTGACAATTTCATGAGGAGAGGACTGAATTTGGCTAACAGATGTCTTTTGTGCATGTTGAACACTGAAACTACTAATCATCTTCTTCTTTGGTATCCGACCGCAGTTAAGTTTTGCAATATGATTTATAATTTTCTTGGCGTCAATGGGTTATAGCTGGGACTGTTTCTCAAGAACTTTTAGCTTGGGAAGGAATTATTACGAAGCATAAATGTCACAAATTTATTCCTCTATCTATTATTGGGTGATTTGGAATGAAAGTAACAAAAGAGTTTTTGAAGATAGATATACTGATTTTGATACTATCAAGGATAGATGGTTATGTTTTTTTTTGTTCTACTATTCTTGGCCACAATTTAGATAGTTTAGAGGATTTGAGATCTATTGTTGATATTATTACGGATCTGTAAATTCTTCTCTATCTTTCTACATGGGTTGCGCCCTCTTGGCGCTCTACCTTTAATATATTTTCTCCTGCTTTTATCTCAAAAAAAAAAAAAAAAGAGGGAGGAGGAGGAATGGGACTCAAACCCGAAGGACTTCTGCAAGTTGCAGAAACAGACCCATAGCTCGGGCCTTCCTTTCTCAAGGCAGTTCCTCCAACTCCCTCCACCATTTCCAACGAAATTTATACAGCATATTGAGCTAGATGTTATGGTGATTTAGGAAAAAGAAGCAAATCTTTTTGCTGCTCCTAAAAGAGAGAACGAAGCAAAATACAGAAGGTAGTCAGAACCCGACACCTGCAGGTATGCATGTCTGGAAACCGAGACGATTTTGAAAATATTTCCTTGATGTTTTCAGATGATCTTTAGGAGTTGAATGCATGGTATTTTAGGCTAAGTAAAGTAGGAAATTTAGGAGAAAAGAATTGAGGAAAACATTCAAATTTAGGTAGAGATTCTTGGCAAAAACAGAAGCTAAGAACTGACAGAATTAACCGTAATATGCCGGTTGGATTCCCTAGAAAGATGAAATCTCTGAAGGCTATATTTGGGCAAAATGCATCGCCTCCCACTAGAAGTTGTATGTGAATTACAGATTAAGAAAGTTTGCTAAGAATAATTTGTAATCTAAATAAGTAGTTTTTTCACACCACAGATTTAGGCTTAACAGAAGCAAAATGGAGATGCATGTGGCAGCTCAAATGTCAGCAAAATGGAAAGCTTAATAGGGAAGAAAATTTTGGATAAAGGTTCAGATGGAGCATATTAATTGGCTTTTCGTGGTCCTTAAATGCTATAATTAGTTATGACTTCTCTTCATTTGGTATATGAAAATTAATTAGGAGAGGGTATGTAACCCACAGGCCTGCAAATATAATTCTATATGCAGAAAACCCATGGCAGAGATAAAACCATTGACACTAAACAACATGAAAGCCATATGGAAGCTTGTTATGTACCCAAACTTTGCAATATAATTCTCTTTACCTCCTAGCCTCCATTAGCATATTACTCTTTCACCCAAATTTAGTCAAAATTATATCAAGCAATTCCTAGCAGTGGTGTCTAAGCAAATTCTCAATAAGTTCTATAAGAGTGATTCCCAACATATTTCGTCTTAAAACTCTATTTACTTTATTTGGAAGATCTTTCCTCGGGCTGTTGAGTAGTTCGAACTAGTCAGTGGTTCAACTGCACATGCAAAGCTGTAGCCCACTTCTTCACATTGGGACATCTATAGATTACATAACCCTAGTTTTATTATTTTGCAGTCAAAGGCTAGATATGAGTTACTATAGGGAGACATACCTAAAGTTGAAATTGCACCTAATAATTTTACACAGAATATTCATGTGCTTAAACAACTAAGAGAACCATAGAAATCCTATTAGAGAAAAAGCATTGTAGAATACCTCCGCTCTTCCCCTTAATATTTTAACATTTGACAGTCCTGTAACACTGACTGCATGCTCCAAGAAAACACAGCGCTTATTCATGGACTCCAGAAGCGTTACATTCCAACCTAAGCATAAAAAATTGGTCATTGTTCATCACATAACACAACAAACCAAAAATAAGTCGTACAAGTTGAAAATGAAGTGAGACCTGGGCAAGCTATTGCTAAAATCAATCCAGGAAGCCCGGGACCACTTCCAACATCGATAAGGCAGATATTGTCACATGAAGGGCTACAACATGAGATATATGAAGTTCGAATTGGAGGCAAAATTGCAAGCGAGTCCTCAACATGCCTCTCCATCACTTCACTTACCTCTGTAACAGCTGTGAGATTCATTTTCTGAAAATTGAGAGAAATAATTGGCATTATAAGTTACATTCCATTTGACCCAAGAAAAATAAGAAATACTGTCATTTAGGATTCCACAAATATTGATGGGAAAAATATAAAGGAAGAAGAAATTCGAAAAAGGCTGTATATTATGTGTTAAAGTATGCATAAAAATTGTGCACAAAAAATCCTATATTCAAGGAAGACCAAGAGCTGTGACTATTACGGAGTAAATACTGAAAAATAATCACACTGGATTTATAGTCATTAATTTACGATATATTTTTAACTGTTCTGTCGATTGAGTAACTATTAGATCCTTTTGAAGCCCAAATGAAATAAGAAGCAATAAATGGACCTATTTTATTCCAAATCTTTGTCAAAAAATTATCAAATATCAATCATGTTTTTGACACAGATTGAATACTAATCGTATTCATAGTCTCATAATATTTTTTTTCTGTTGCTAACCCTGCATTTGAACTGAAAAAAGTAGAGATGAAGAAGGGGAAAGGAAGGGATGCTCATTCTTCTTCTAGTTGTTTGGATATATAATCGTAATTGGTAAAAAAAAAGCGGATGAATAATAAGCATCTCTTCTTTTCCCGTAAAACTCCAATTTTTTCCATTTCTCCATATTAGAAAAAGAACAAGAGAAGAGTAAATGATTTAAAATACTGAAGAAAAATCTTCTACATTACCCTTAATATCAATAAAAGACACTAATGAATATTTTTTAATAATCAATCATCTCTTTTTATAAAGCTAAACCAAACAAAATATTACTTTCAATTATTACTTACACAAACAATAACAATACTTTCCTTTCTTTTTCTTCAAAAAGCTACTATTTTCCTTTCATTTCCTCTCCTCTCAATTCCATTACTAATACTATAACATACCGTGACAGTAAATTTTTTTGCCTGTATTGAGGCCAACTAATGACAATATATTGCCTAACTATTAACAAGTACTACAAACCCAACCGATCAACCCCTATCACAAATTCTGATTCCAATTTCTTAGAGACGCCAACGATTTTTCGGCAATAGAAAAGGCGAAGAGTAAAAACTAAAATTCACATTGAGAAAATGCGTGCATATATGTTTCTCATTCCCTCGTACTTATGAATAGAGAGAGAGAGAGAGAGAGAGAGAGAGAGACCTGGTTCCACTGAAGAAGAGCATCGACGTAGAGATGAATCTGGTCTTTTTGGCGGGAACTGAGAGTTTCGAAATGAGAAGGCTTAATGCTGGCGGAGGTTGTGGTGGTAATCGTTGAGAGTTCTGTGTAAATTCTTCGAGTACGAGACGCTTTTGGTTTGAAGAATGGAAACTGTTCGATAATAGTCCCCAGTGCCACCAGCCGATTGGGCGTTTGGCAGCAACGCCAGCACGTTAACATCCCTCTCTCTTAGCTCTCGCGTGCTCGTCTTCTTGTTCGTCGCAGACGAAACAAAATGTTCGTTGCCACTTTCAATCTTCCGTCTTTACTGATTCGGACTCCGTTTGGCCATCGCCATAGCCAAGTAGCTCAGAATCTCCAACAGGAATATCACTTTCTTAACTCAACACCGTAGCCAGTTGCCCATATAGCCTTTCAGTGACGCGTTAATTAGAGGTTAGACTGAGAATTTATGTTTATTTTGTTTTTATAAAATTTAAAAAATATTTTTAAGAAAATGTAATTTATTTGATTGTATTGGTAAGAAAATTCAAATTTTTTGTTAAATTTATTTCTAATTCTTAGTTATCAATTAAGATGATAAAATCTTATCTTAAAAAATAATAATAAAAGTAAGTCTTACTCCTGTATATGTAAAGAGTATCATATCATGCGAATTACATATACTTGGCAATAAAAATCTTAATATAAAATAAAAATTAATGTAATATGGAATTCAATTTACAATTAGCAAATATATTTAAAGTTACATATCCACTTTTTGTTATCTTAATGCAACTTACATATTTGTTTATGAAATTAAGTTTAGATTTAAAAAAAAAATTCATATCATTTTCAAATATGTCCTAAATATAATATATGTAAATTCACATCTAAGTTAATTAGAAGAGTATTTAAATTGTATAAAGATGTTGAAACTAAATCTATATATAATTTTATGTAACTTACAATAATACATTTAAATTTATTAGAATTGATAAAATTTAGAATGTATTACTCTGATTTTACATGAAATTTTATATGTGATCACTTATTATTATTATAATAAAAATCATCAATTTTTTCCATTTGAAAAAAATATATACATAAATTGATCAATAAGCAGTTCAAATTTGTTACAGTCTAGGTCAGGTATACACACTCTCAAACCCGCTTCACAAAAAAAGATTTCTACTTGTACACGTTTTATACTCGGAAGCAAGTTTAAATCTACTATTTTTCTCTTGTGAGCAATTTGATAATATAAATTTATAATTCGTGAACTATTTATTACGGCAATGTCATAAAAGTGTTTTCATCATATTTAAGGCCTTATCTTTACGAAATAATTTGAATGCACATTTTGTAATTTGGCGATACTCACCTCATTTTTTCAAAGTTAGATAACCCTTAACTACATTTACTATTCTATGCTAGGCATTAGAAACTCTTTCTATAGTCACATCTTCATCTATTTTATCCCTTGATGAGAGCTCATTCCAAAACCTCATGCTATAACTATTTTGTATTTTATTCTTCCTTTGGAATATTCTTATGAGATAATCACTAAGCTTCCTAAATACTTAACTATTGATGAAACATATTAAGAATTAGCTTACAAAGTGTATGTAATATCCAACCCATAATTAATTTTGAAAATTTAAAAATAAATAAAAATATTATTTATAATTTAATTTAATTTAATTTTTTTAAATTATTGAAAAAAATATGTTAGGGATGTAATCGAAAATAATTTTAAAAAAAATAGATAAAAATTTGAGTTTGGTGGGTGTTTTTGAAAAAAAAAATAGAAATATGGGGTCAAAGTACAAAAAAAAAATTTGGTCACGTAGGACGGCCCAGTTAGCAGTCCCGACGAATCGAAGCACGCCGGGTGGTAAGACACGTTGACGTCGATGCCACGCGGCCGATCCGTGTGCCCCACGATCGGATAGCTCAGAATCGATCATGCTCGCATAGACGACTTAAATTTGTTTCCTCCTTAGATGCAATCGGACGAACAAGATCAATCACGATAAACAGTCCAAATTTGTTTCCTCCTTAGGTACAATTGGACGGACAAGATCAATCGCGATAAACGAACCAGATCGATGCGGGATGGGTATAAATACTTCGTGTTGCATGGGAACCCAAACCCTAGCTGTTAACTCCCGCTGGAGAATAAGAACCAAGTGCTAGAGAAGGAGGTTGACCGCCGACCGTCGCCGCACCAAAGCCACAGTCAGCTGCCAAAAAAGGTAAAAATTTCTCATATCCGCTCGAAATTCAATTCCGAGCATCCTTGTGAAAAAATTGGAGCAAGAGAGACAGCGGGTAAGCCAGAAACTACGGGCAAAGCCTGGCAAGGCGGCCGCAGCCAAAACCCAAAAACCCCTCTAATGAGCCCCTTCTTACTTCCCATTTCACGCAATTTTTTGGTCATTGTATTCACCGTCTTTTTTTGTGCAGATTAGCCGAAGAAAAAATTCTAGCCGTGAAGGAGGACCGGCGAAGCCGTTGCACTCAGAGGTCCCCCCTGCTGGTAGGTTCAGTTTTTGTGATTCTCCGACCAACCGAGGTCCCCTAACATATTTTTCTACAAGGAAACGTGCAAAACCGTGCAAAATCAACCAGGCTTAGGCGAATTGTAACCGTGGACAGCGGAGTCAGTGCTGGAGCATAGCGGTGCTGCCGTGCCAAAACTCCAAAATTGGCCGGAAAGAGTTTTGTACATCAATTTTGAATTTTTTTGGGTATTTTTAGATATGTGACGAGTGTTTTAGATTTTTTTATGAAAAATTCAGAAAATTCGGTACTCATTGGGAGACGTAGTAGACAGCGCACCATCTTGAAACACCGATTTGGATACGGATCCCTCACCCTATTCTCCGTTATGGTAAATTGAGGCTCAATGATGTATAATTTTGTGTTTTTATGAAAAATTAGATAACACTAAAAATAATTACAAGTCACTAGTAGAGCTGGAACCAGTTAGTTCACGATTGTTCTAATTTCCTATTTATTTTCCTGTACTGTTCTATTTACTTGTTATTATATGGTGCATATTCTTAAATTATATTTTCTATAGCCTTATCAATTTATATGATTTATATGATTATATACCATCAGCATGAATATAATTTAATTGATCTGTAAATATAATATGAGATATTTGTGTGCGTGGTTGGTTTTTTCGTTTATGGGAATCTTTATGTGAAAGACTTACTAAATACCCAAGGAAAGAGCGGACGTGCCCGGTACATAGAAAACCCTACTGTGAACGTTACTTTAATCGAACGGGACTGGAAATTCCCTTAGTGGGAAGGTTTGGGAGATATGGTTCACCTTCATACCGAACAAGGTATTGAGACGATAGAATATTTGGTGTCCATTATCAGACAGAGTATGGAGGTGACCAATTAATTATTTAAATTTGATATTGGGTTCACGAGTAGGATGACATCCCTATGGACCTCCAAGGGTACCAGTAAGCAGGTAAGAAAGGAAAGTTATCGTCTCTTGTTGTTTTATGTATGAAAATAAAAAGTGATATGAATATGGGTTTTCATAGGTTGTTTTTGAAAAACTCGTTACGGTAAGTACGGAATAAACGATTTTCTTTATATTGAATGAATTTACTCAAATTAAGGACTCCATTATGTTGTTTTTTATTTTTATCAATATTCAGTTTCTTGTATTTATGATTAGTATGATATTCTTACTGGAATAGTGTATTTCACTCTTTCGTTAACCATTTTAGATCAAGAAGGGCAAGATCTAGATCCTAATCGGCAAGAAGATTATGAGCAATTCACCACCCAGACTCTCTTCAAGTGCTAGTGAAGGTTGTCCTAAGAGGCTTATTTATTCACTCTTCTTTTTATTTCCTTAATTACCATTTGTCTTTTAGTAGAGACATTTCTGTAGCCCTATTGTGAATTCTAAATTATTGTATAAAGAACATAAATCCTAACTTTATTAAATACTTCGAAATTTAAACTATAAATTTATTTTCTTTAAGGTTCTGAGTTTTTACAGTATAAATAGCTCCTACTTTGAGTATCTAAAACCATTCTGTTACCCCTTTTTAAGATGGGAGTAAACTCTATACATGACACGACCTTTGTCACACTTGTAAACTTCATTACATTAATCGAGTTAGTCCACAAGACTTTTATCCCATCTTATTAATCCATTCATAATAGTTTAAACCTCGATAGAATAGGTTCTGTGGTTAAATTATCATAAAAATAAAGGTCATTATATTTAGAGTTGTAGGGATCATACTTTAAGTTTTTACAAGTGGCCTTTTTTGTCAACTCCTATATCAGTTTTGGCAATTATCTTAGGTTTAGTTAGCTTGCTCTCAAACTTTTTATCTTAGCACCCCCAAGCATCACTTACCTTAGCTTCATATATTTTCCTTACTACAGGGTTATGTTGTTTTCTATCATTAATCTAATTTTGGGTAATATTCTCATGCACTTAAAGGTTGTTTTTTATCTCCTCGAAGTTTGTCGCATAGTGTTTGATGAGGGATTGCATTTGCCTTCTCAAATATATCAGTTTATGTTTTAAGACTTTAATGTTTTAAAATTTCTTCTTTACTACTTGGGAATGGCCATCACACTCTTAACGAGATCAAAATTATGGGAAAGTTAATTTCTCACCTAGGAATTTTCTGTTTCTGTTATATGTGCACTTTTCATAATCACTATGTCCACTCATTTATTTTCACATATATGTTAATTAGTGAGGTAAAAAATGCTTAAAGGCTAGTAAAGAAGACTATATAATAGGAGTATTTATAATTTGGAACTAATAAAAAAGTAGGTCGAATTGGACTGAGATAGAATTGATATAGTTCAATTTAGTCTTTAATCCAAATGTGGGAAGATTGACAGTTTTAGTATGTCCATTATGGACAGAAAATTTTGATGTTTAGTACATGCCAGAAATTTTACTTCATCTGGTATGCATAAAACATACCAAAATTTAAAAATATATTTAGAAAATCATATTATCAATAGATTATAGTTTAAAATATATTATTTGTTTCAATTTTATTGATCTGTTAGTTATTTTTTTAATTAATAAAAATAAATTAAAAAAGAAGGGATATCAATCCAATTTAGCCTAATCTTCTGTCCAAAATTAGATAATAAAAAAAATTCGATCCAATACAACCATATGTGGTCCATAATGAACACCCTTACTTGGTAGGGCTAACAACTCATGTCATAGGTTGATCATGAAAGTCTTAATCTAGACTCATTAGAGCTAGAGCTGGCAAATATTAGCTCTAGTGCTTTTATTATATTTATTTTTAGTTTTATTAGTTTTATTTAAAATTCTTAATTTTATTTAAGAATGTATATTTTGTTGTTGATCTTATTTTATTTGTGAGAGTTATTTTATGTATTCATGATCTTA